TACTGATAACATCTTATCAGAGCTTAGCTGATGCGATCAGTCGCTCCTTTTCATTACTTAGCCATATGTTTGTCCGTCACCGTCGCGAACGATGATAAGTGAGGGCATGGATTTGTGTGTTTTACGAAACGTGTGACAAGAATTTCTAGGCCTAGATAAACATCAAAGGCTGGCGGTGCCTCAGAATTCTCCGAATCTTCTCAAATGTTGTCTTTTCCTTGTGATTAGCTAATTTGGATTCGCAGATGAAATCGTCACCCATTTTTCAATATTTGATTTCTTAGTTAGAATGTTCGTCAGCTGATTTGTCGCCATAGTGTACAATTCTCATTCGATCACAGCTAGCAGTAAGTAGGTATCAGGTTTTGTTTGCTCACATTTCTCAAGACTCAAATCGCAAACCCTCTAGCAGTGCAATAGAGCGACTGAGTGCTTTTTGTCGATAGTTTGAACCTTTTCTTTTGCTTCTTCAATTTCATGGTTGAACATTTTTGAGAAATATAATGGAGAAGAGTAATTTGGTGTCAATCTATGCATCTTTAAGCTTTAATCTTGAGAAAAATCATCCAAACCTATGTTTGCACTCTTCAAGAACTAATTCTCTATCAGTGCTGAGATGACTTAGCCCTTCCAATCCATAGCTTATCCCAAGGCTGCTCAGTCCTGTACACTCATCCTTTGAAATTAGTATTCTCCGAATAAAGAACATAAATATTGCAAGCATAGTGGTTTTTCGAGTCTTACACTACTTGGTTGAGTAGAAAAATCAAAATCAATAATCTTGACATTTTAATAATCTTCAATGCTTGTTTGTAATTTTCATTCTTTTGTCGAAACTACAGCTTTGCAGAGTCTCCTCTGAACTGAAATCTGCTTTTTATTGATTTAGCAGGCATGAGGATTCACGGAAAAGTGTAAAATCACATTTTATATAAGAAGCTGTATAGATCGAAATATGTTGCTAAAAACCCCCACAATCATACCTTCGATAGTCAAGAGACAGAGGCTAGAAAGTGATAGTTGTTTGAGTTCCTGCCCTTTATAAAAAGTGAAGGTTGTTTCAGAAAAATAGACGAAAATTTAGAGATACAAATTAAATTAGAAAACTTAGAAAATTCGTATAAAGCAGAGGTTAGCACATCACCAAATCTGAAACCTTAACTTGGTGGTTTCCTACGCAGAGTTTCGTCTCCAGGATTGCCGGTTAAATTGGGTGGCAACAACAACAAAGTTCTTTTTCAGTCAAAAAAAGCGCTGTTTAGCTGTGGCGTTAGTTGGGAGACCGAAAGAAGAAGAACTTGTCAACAACTGAATTGAACATGTTAAACATGTCTGTAAAGTTGTGTTGCACATCGACGCCAATCTGATTTTTGACGCGTCCTTTAAATTTTCATCCCCGCATAGTCGTTTCGTACGCTGCGACGTTGTCTGGATTCTTCCGCTCATCATTCTGAGCAAGTATCGTCCAAGCTGGAAAAAATTCGTTGCAAAAGCACGGAAAGAGAACAAGGTAAAGAAAAGCGCACTTTTTTGTATTTTTCACAAAAAAACCGGCATAAGCAAAGAATTAAGGTCGGCGACGTTGTCTACATCATAGACAGAAACAAGACCTATCGAATACACAAAAAAACGAGTGAAAAAAGTTAAACTGAAGAAAAAAACCAGAGGTTTTCGAAAACGCCGTTTTTCGAGGATTTCTCGTTTAAATCCTAAAAAGAAGTTTCGCGACGTTGTCAGCGTGAAAATAGAGATCAAAAGCTTTAATATGATATATAGATTATCGAAATTGGGCTCCGAACAACGAAGAAAAGGGTACCAGAGCCAAATGCCCCGCGCCCCGCATTTGAGGTAGCGAGGTAGCGCGCAGCGCGCGGAGACGCAGACGAGCAGCGGAGACAGACCAGAGCCGACGGGGCATTTGGCTCTGGTCGTGGATCTTCGCAGGGTCTTAACGAAACCCTGCAACATTATATATCGTTGTGATCCTCATGAGACGGCCAGGAGCAATGACAACGTCGCGGGTCTTGAAAATCACTCCATAGTGAGATAGACCAGCATTCATATGGCGACTTTTTGCGCAAGATTTGAGCGCAGTTTTTCGTTTTTAGTGAACTCTAGCGGCTTTAATAAACTTCCAACATTCAACCGCAGTTCAGAGAAAGGTTAATTGAGAAATTTTGCCCTAGTTTTTGATTGAATTTCCAAATAAAAACCTTCTTTTCAACAAAAAAGGCCAAAAAAAACGCAATCCTTCGGTTTTTTTAGCTTCTTTTGAATGTCACTGCTATATTTGCCTCATTTAAATTCGTCCCTATACGGTTATGTTACTAGTTATGTCATAATTTCCGGGGCTTCGCCCCGGATGACTTCTGTACTTCTCCTCAGGTGAAGGTTGTGTTCTATCATGACGCTCAAAGTGAAGGTTACTAGAGTACATGGCTCTATGTATCGAAGGTATGCCCACAATACAGAATGGTTTCTTGACCCATAACGATTGGGAGAAGTTCTCACATATGTCATTATTTGAGAATGGGATTTTCCAAAACCGGTTACCTACCGCTAGAAAGTCCATCACATTTCTCTATTAAATGTTCTTCCTATACATCATAACATTGTCATCTACACCACATTCAAATCTTGACACTATTGACTTGACGTTTTCTCCATGGCCATTGTAGAGTTTTTACGATCGCCCGATGACGATGTGTCACAGGTGATTCACATGATGCCATACGGTATGGCGTATGTGAGATGGATTGTTTTTATAGTGAGATGTTCGAATGTTAGTGTTATGAGAGATAGTTTTAGGGTATTTTTACATGCAACTGCCTCACAAATGTCTATAAAGGTTTTGAAAGTGAAACTCTACGATAGCAGTACTGTAACTGCCCAGTCAGCATACATTTTATGGTAGGACCGCTTTATCCGATAATTGGCTTTTTATAAATCTCATCCCATACTAAAAATGAAGCCTTTTGATATCCGTAGGTCCGAGAAAAATGTTACTGTAAGTTATCTTGCATCCTATCTAGGTTATTACTCTTCGCCTCATTTTGCTGCTCTTGTCTATATTTGTTCGAGTTCTAAAAGGTTTTAGTCTTTAAAATAAATGTATGATAATGTCTTCCCAAACGTCTAGTTCTATTATGTCTCCTTCCGGACAAGGTGACCTTCACGTTGCTATTTCTTTTGTACTTTTTTCTACAAAAGTGCATCCTTGAGAGGATGCATACAATGTCAAGTCGAATGAAACCATTTGGTGAACAAGTTCTCCCTCATTTCGTTGGCGCTCTCCACATCCGCTATTGTTTTTGATCTTGCGTGGAAGTAGGATCAGTTTTAGAAGTGCAGTCTTGAGATATGGTCGGCATTCTTTTTTCTGTTGTTCGAATAGAAGAGAAAACTGAAAAACGTTTTCTTCTAGAGTTTTGCGTGCATAACTTGAGTTCCATGAATGTTCGTATGCTCATGACCCTTTGAGGAAGCCATCATTGTTAAATGTTTGTTTCTATCAATGCATCGATGTGACAGATTGTCTTGGCCTTCTAATCTTCAGGTCATTCTCTGCAGAGGAAATTGACGGTAATGGTTGTGCTCTTTTTGCCGTAGTTCGAGTTTTGCAGACTGAAAAGTTGCGACTAATTTAGCCATCACTCACTAGTCACTTTTCGCCCTCTTCAGTAGAACTCATCATGAAATGCAAGGAATTGTAGTCAGAAAAAGTTTGTGTATCCCTATCACATCATCTTTGGTAATGTGATCGTCTTGAAATCATATATTTGTGCTTGAGGCTGTTCAAAGTGAGCTAGACCTTATGTCAAGTACATAATGCATTGCAGTTACGAGTAAGAGTGAATCGCAGTCAACGAAACTTTGATTTTCGTTCTCTCATGGTAATGGTAAGATGAAGTTGTGGATAGAACTTCATAAAATGATGCCGTTCTTTGAAAATTTGCTAGCATGTGATTTTGAGGAGATTGCTCAGGACATCGCAGTTCATCTAAAACTTTTGATTTCATTTATCCTACGTAGTGAATTTGCTTCTTCTGCATCAGGAAGCTGTAATTTTATGCACCGGTTGATCATCATTATCAGTTCGAAAAGCACTCTCCTGCGTATGATTTTATAGTTGTAAAATATTTTATGGCAGAAAATGCTGTTTACCTCGTCAGTTGAACCTAAGATTCACTTCTCCGAATAAATGCACTCTCAGTTTCCTATCTGGTTCATTTCCAGTAATCCGAAGGCCACAGCAGAAATATCATTATTTCGGACAATACGGCCGCCTTTGAGCTGTGGATTGCGAGGCTTGAATTTTGAAATTGCCTCTCGAGATCCTACACCTTTTGCCTTTGACTGATAATTATATGCTGTCGAAGAACAGGTATTGTCGTCGTAACTTTTATCTACCAAGATCTAAAAACCTGTATATCCTTTCTTCATATTGTATTCTTCTCGAGGTATCTATCTAATATATAAAGAATCGTAAGCGCAATTCAAAAATGTGCACATAGCGGGAAACCGCGTGGCGGTCCCGAAGCGCGCCGATGCGATCTAGCACCTTTAATTGCTGGTTCACTAGTATCTTCAAAAAACGAATATCACATTTTGAAGTAGATGTTTTTCAAATTCTTCTATTTACACGACGCATGCATAGTGAGTGACTAACTAAGTTTTGAAGCAAAAACGCTGGAGGGGATTAGCGATAAAGTGAGGGATTAAAGGCGTTCGGAAAGAAATGACTGCTGCATGTGGAGTTTGTATGTCACGGATGACTGATCATCACATTTTCTCACTGCGGCTGCTCTGACAAAACAACATTTCAAATGTTGCGTGATTTGAATTTGTGTCCTTTCTAGCAGTTAACGATTTTTACTCAAGTTTAGCCCTTGGCAGCTTAATCGTTTTATTTTACTAGACAATTGTTGCTTTCTATTCTGCTCCAATACAATGTTTTTCTCTTATATATGAAGGTCTTTGACATTTGGTGAAATTTTCAGCCTCAATGAAACGTCGTGTCACGGTGCATTTCGGTGATGTAAGGGTGGTGGTCCCTTGTCAAGATGAAGATACCACCGTAGCTGACCTGGCTGAAGCCGCGGCGATCAGGTATAAGAAGGCAACGGGTAAGGTAAGTGATCGCTAAACTTGTTTTATTTTTTTATTTTACTTCTCACTGGAAGTGCTGGCTGGCTGACAGAAGTTTATTTTTTGCCTTTTTTGTGTATATTTCGCTTTTCTTTTGGGTTTAGATTTTCATTTTTTTTTCATAATTTCATTTCCTTTTCCTTCATTGCTTGGTTATTCCAAATATGTTGCTCCATTTCATCCAAATATAATTTGAATTTTTGATTCAAGCGATGTTTCCTCTTCTTGGTTGCGAGGGGAATGGTAATAGGGATAACGTTCTGCTCCGAATGCCAGATTCCCAACTAAGTTTCGTTAATCGCAAAACTCGTTTTAGAGCGAAAACGCAAACATAAGGATTTTGTGAAGTGAGCAGATGTAGCGCATTGACACATCATATAGACATGTCTACATAATATTTGCAAGAAGTAGACTGTTTCTTCTTCTTCTCCTTTTGAACTCAACTCGCACGTGTGGCTTTCTTTGCTCAGTGGTAATGTTTTCATGGTAGACAGACTTCCGCCAACCATAAATTTTGGCTGTAAACTGGGCAGACGCTAATTGAGCACCGATCATGCGTGCATATTTGCGAGTTGTGAATATGTTGCCTATTTGACTTTCTGTTCTTGCATTCGATACATATGTTCAGCTAAAACTCCATCAAATGACATTTTAAGTAGGTAAGTAGAACAATGGGACTTTTGCAGTAGCGGCAAACATTTTCCGAAGCCTAATTTTTGAATGTGATTCCTTTGTGGCTCTTGTCCTCGTTACAATAGGGCAATGAACTTTTCGTATTTGCACGACGATTCTTTTGAATCAAATCGAATGTTGTAATTTGAATTGTGAAGTGCGCAAGCACAGGCGGCGCTACATGATGGTGACAAACGTGGATCGGTCAGGCTGTGCACGCTGCTTTGTTCGGTTCCGTCACCTTACACCTCGTTTGCTCGTCCCTGTGTGTGTGCGTCTGTCCTATTCTAGAAGGTCGGCTTTGTTTACCTTGACTGGCTAGGATGTCGTTATCGTCTTCTGACCTCTCCTTGGAGGTGTGGAATATTCCAGCGAAAAATTGTTTTTAGTTTATTACGATATGATTTGTATCCATCTTTTGCAGTAGTTCTGGAGCATACGTTGACCTTATCTACTACTGTTTTCTGCCAGTTTTAGAAACTTTTTCTGGGTAGTGAAAAAGGAGACAAACAACATTACTTCATAGGGTTGTTTTTATTATTTGCAGTCGTAAGTTGAGTTTTCAGATTTCAGATAGATGTTTGTTCGCGCCTGCCCCAAAGATCTCCAAACAGGGATATAAATTGTAGATTTCTAGATTTCCATATAAATGAATTACCTGCAAAGATTCGTAGCTTGTACCGTTTTCAGAAATTGTGCGAATTCTCGACACTTTCACGGCTTTTTTGTCCGTTTACTACGACACAAGCTCTTCTTTGAATTTATTTGAGGAAAGCTGTAAGATTGATACAAAATTCATTATCTATCCGGAACTGCGTATATCATACTGTAACTACCGCGTTATGATGTTTGCGTTACCAACTAGTCCCCATCAAACGATCTCGTCATGCTCTGATTAGCTTTGAAATTGGTTCCGCCTCAGGTTGTGTTCAGTCAAACCCCATTTTTTCGAGTCATAAATTTTGAGGCAGCAATTCAGCATTTTTCCTCTTCTTGAAATCGTTTGAAAATTTCAAATAACTTTTTATATAGCAATGCGAACACGATAAAATTTTTGTATTAATGTAAAAATTTACGCATTGAGTTAACTTCTAAAAAGGACATATTTAAATAAATAAATGGTCAGTGATCTTCATTCTATGCCCATTTTTTTACCTAAGCTGTATATCGCCAATTTTAGCGCGCGTTGGTTGTTTGGCAAATTTGGTATGAAGTTGTCACATAGCTATCCGATATTTGAAATTGCTTTATCATTGCGTGATTATGAAACTTTTCTTCAACAAGAACATAACGAAATTTTGGAATCATATCACAGAAATTCGTCTGAATTCTGTTATCAGGCAAACTCTGCCTTTTTGTGCAAGAAAACAGTGCTGGCCATTTATTCCTAGGTTTTTTTTATCTGTCAAAGAAAAAGCAGAGAGCTTGGCACAGGTGGCTTGTAAGCAAGCTGGATACCGTTTTTGGGACAAAAAGCAAAGGGGGTTTGGTTTTTGAGACCGAAAAGAGACAAAAATTGCGACGTTTTTATTTAGTCGACGTTTCGTTTTTTGGAGATTTTTTAGGGATTATGGTGGAGGGTCAAAGGGACTTCGTAAAAATCCGTAAAAATCAAGGGGACTTCGTTTTCTGCATTCTTAACTGCCACCTCTTGCCGAGCCCTGAAAAAGCATATTTCAAGTCTCAAACTTCCCAGTCATTCAAAGAGTAACGCCTAGCTTGCACAAGCCCATCGTAAAAGTCTCGTAAAGTCTTTTACGTTGCGTTCACTTTGCAGTTGATGCTCTGTCTTATCAAATTAGCAGAAAAAATCTATGGCTAGAGTACATGTCCGGAATGCAATCTCAATGACATAATTTCTTCAATGTTGCCTTATTTGCACGTTTCGGCATTGGCAGATGACATGTGTAGATGTCATTTCAAAGCTAAAAACATACTTCCTATAAATAATGCCAAGCTGCTTCGGGCTCGAAGAGTAACCCCTGTTGTGACTCAGACTTTCCGTTTTTCTGATTGAAATTATATAGCAAAGTGCAGTGCTGTTTCATGAAACTGCATACGGTGTTGACATATAGGTGAAAATAGCGGTGCAACTAAGATCTTGAAATAGCGAACTTTTTTTTCTGGGCATCATTGTTGACTCAAACATGAAAAAAGAACTGCGACACGATTGAAGACACCTCACTATTAATCTGAAGGTTGCGAAAGTGCAACGTTCTGCGCATCTCATTTGTTCCATAAATAATGCATTGTTAGACATACCAAAATTTCGAAGTTCTTTCGACAATCAGGTCTAGGCTTCCAGCAGCCCCTGTTTCTATCATACCCGAACTTCAGTCGTTCTTTTAGACCAAATTTTTTCATCTTACCATCTTACACATGTTTTCCTTGAACCCTTTAGATGAATTACGCCACCGTTGGATCCACTGTTTCTCATGTAGGTTGTCAGTAATTTTTAAGTCATGGATCAAGTTTTTTCGCTTTTCTCTGCTGAGCTTTGCATACAATGACTACCATTTGGAATGACCTCGAGTAATTTGATTATTTCAGTTCTTTTTCTTTCTCAATGACATCTGCTCCGAAAGAATTCAGTTTTGTAGTCAAGTTTACTATTATATTCCTCGGCGCTCACAACGATTGACAAGAACAATGGCGAGGATCAGAATGACATTTTTTTGCATGAAAGTTAACCTTATAGTTGAAGTTATTGCTGAACAGCTGGAATTGTTGATTAGAATGCTTCAGAACCAGATTTAACTCTCATATCATCTTACATCTATTCCGTTATTAATTTTCCATTCTCTCGGTCATTAATTCGTTAGCTTAAGAAAACGGTCGATGATATTTTCGTTCAACTCTGCCGCACTGAGGATAATGATTAGTAGACTTTAATTAGTAGCCCAGTCCCTACCTGAGTACTTGCTCAAGTTTCGCTAAAAACGCGAGGTCAGACGCGAACAAATCACTCCAGAAGTTAGTGACGGAGGTGGTCGCTACATCAACGTGGGTGGTCTGAAGATAGAACTCCATATTTGGGCGTGACTTTACCATATTGTCAAAAATTCCCCCTCCATCATCATTATCAGACCTTCGGCAGTTTTGCCTTGTACCTTCAGACCACCCAGCTGATGGGCAGAGCGACGATCCCCGCCTCTCCCTTCTGGAGCGTTCTCGTTTCGGAATTCAGCTTTTGCAGCAAGACTTGAGGGTTGGTCCCGTTCTGGGAAGAGTGACTATAGTTTCCAATCTGCTGATTATTCTGATGACGATTCATGACCAGCAACCGTACCAATTTCACTTCTGCCATCGTGCGACCTTCCAAATCAGAGCGTCGTCAGGGTATTATCGGTGAATCCAGTATGGTCACTGAATGCTAATTAGCACTTGTCTGGCCGTGCGCATGATTTACATGCGCACATCCATCAATCTCGACGTTGCCCGTCAAGTTTGGTGGTGTAACTCGACCCCCGTCGTCCCTCATTTACCACCGCCACCCGCTTCTCATTAATAGATTCGTTGTCGGTCGGTTGTTGTTCAACAGTGACAAAGAATTTGTCAATAGTGTGAGTGGCATATGGCTCAGAGTGAGTGATGGCGCATGGGTGAGCGGTTGGTCCATCACCATTTTTATTTTAGCAATGCATTTTGAATTTTCTTTCGAGTCATAGAGTTGCAAAAAATCTCCAAAGTGCTTTTTGATATGAAATTATCACTGTAGTTCATGATTTTGGTCAATCACTTTTGAGTTTGTTGTTGATTGAGGACTTCTTTTCCAGCTTTTTTTTTTCGAATTGCCAAGCTACAAATCTGTAATTGTCCTTGCAATGCTTGAGTTTCCGGAAACTCTATGTTCGTTCTTCACCCTGCTGCATTTGATAAATAATTTCTCTGTCTTCTGTCTCTACACACATCAGACGAACGGTTAGACATCCTGTGATGCGAAAGAAATCTGGTTGTTCATTGTAGCTAATTTGCAATGATCTGTCACCCCGTCTCTTACGCTCGCTTACGATTTGTACGGAATTGGAATTTACGCCAGAGTAAGCAGCTATCTTTCTTTTTGAGTATTGTAACCGGAAACGTTTGGTTTTTATTCTTCCGTTCGTTACACTGCAATTGTCTGTTACCTTTTGTAGACATGAATTTAGCGTGAAATACAATTATGAGCTATTCAGTCTGTCTTTTCCAGCATTTGTTAGGGTGACGAACGATTGAGCCAGAGTTATAGCATCAAACATCCCTGCACGTGTGCGGAGCTTTTTTATTTTCTCCAGTACATCTATCTTGAAGTAGCGGTGGTCACAGTTTTTG